GCCGCAGCTGGAGACAAAGGGAGCAGAGCGGCCACGGCCACGGCCAACTCGCAGCTACTGACGGAGCTGCACCCAGCTGTGTGCTGCTGTGCTCGCCTCCAGAGGCCGCTCCTCCTCTCGCCCCTGCCCTGGGAGGAGCTTCAGCTCAGGGGCGCCGCCAGAGGGGAGCAGAGCAGCACCGGGAACAGCCCCGCTGGAAGCTGCGCGAGGCCGGGGCCGGCCGGATTGGACCCGTGGCCGTATTTTGCCCCCCTGCTGTAGCCCCTCGGGGAAGCACCCAGGGGGTTGTGCCCAGGGACTGCCAGGACTGGGAAGGGGCTGGTCAGACAAGTGGGGACTGAGCACTGGGTCCGTGTCTCACAGCTGATTTCCTTCTCACCGCAGAGCCCAGCCACCCAAAACCCAGCATCTCCCTGCGCCCCAGCAGACCGGTGACCCCAGGGGGAGCTGTTACCATCCAGTGTGGGGGTACACACCTACGGATGAAGTTCGCTCTGATCAGAGTGGGAAGCAGTTTCCCACCCCAGGATGCCAGCGGGTTTCAGGCTGAGTTTGTCATCCCCAGTGTGAGCACTGAGCACAGCGGGAGCTACAGCTGCTGCTACCACAGCAAATCTGACCCATTCACTGTGTCTGAGTCCAGCGACCCTGTGAAGCTGGTGGTAAGAGGTAAGAGGCGCAATTCATCATCTGGCTCCCAGCCTCACCCACAGCCAGACCCCTGGAGGGTGCTGGTGATGGGTGGGATGTTTCAAGCCAAGCTCTACCCTGTGGCCCAGCAGAGGGGATACCCAGTCAGGGAGCAGGACTGAGACACTGGAAGGGTTAGCATGTACCAGGGAGCAGCAGGTGCTGGAGGTTGAGGACAGCTGTTTGTTCAGCCTTTGGTCTGCCCCTTTGTTCAAGTGCATTCAGGAGCCGTGATCACACCCCATTTGCCCCAGTCTGTGTCCAGGGGGTGGTGAATGAGGCTGTAGGAGGAAGAAGAATGGATCTGTGATGTCAGGTGCTGGGTAGGATCCAGGAGGTCACACTGCAGTTCCTGGGTCAGTCGCAGACTGCCTGAGAGAGGGGAAGCAAATCACAGATTTCAGAAGTGCTCTTCAACTCTTGGGACCTCACTGTTGGGACATCTCTGATCACCTCCCTGAACTGAGGTACCTGCAGTTGGGGGAAAATGTGTGAATACTGCCTTGAGAATTAGAACTGGTTTTGCAACAGGTGTGAGCAGACTCAGGACCTCACTGCGCCAGGTGCTGCATAAACACACAGTGAACAGGTAGTCCTTGTCCCTCAGAGGCAAATGGCAGCTCATCTCCCCATGCCTGTTCCCACACTGTAGTGGGGGACCTGGGAGAGTGATTTTTCTGTGTCTATGCAGCTGGGGTTTGCTGTGCTGAGTGCCAGAAAGAGCCCCCAGGTCAGCGAGTCATTCCCTGTACAGGGAAGTAAAGGAGATGGAGACCAACAATGTGCTAGTGATGATGGATAGAAATGCTGAGCAGGGGGCTGGTTTCTGCACCCCATTCCCTAGGCCATGTTCTGGGCCTACATGGAAGTTCTGCAATCATGGAAGGAGCTTTTTCCCAGAGGACCCTGTCTTTGCCCTGTGGCTCAGCCTGGCAGGTGAGGTTGGGGCCGGATGACCGTGCAGGTCCATGTCTCACTGCCTCTCTCCCGCACACAGATCGCAGCTATCCCAGACCCAGAATTTCTCTCAGCTCCAGTTGGCCAAATGCTCTGGGGCAAGATGTCACCATCTGCTGTGCCTGTCAGTGTCAGCGCCGGGACCTGAAGTTCTTCCTGCACAAGGCTGGAGCTCAGCAGATGCTGCAGCCTATGAAAACTATGGGGGAAGTGGCTGAGTTCTTCATCCCCAGCGTGACCTGGGAGCACAGAGGGAGCTACAGCTGCAGCTACCGCCGCCCAGGAGAACTATATGTCTTGTCATATTCCAGTAACCCTCTGGATATTGTAGTAACTGGTGAGGGTCCTGCCTGTCTGGGTCAGGATGTTTGAGCCAGGCTCTGCCCTGAGCCCCTCCAGAGTTGACATCTCTCCAGGGAAGTGACTGAGTCACAGGGAAGTCCACATCTAGGGGAGAGAGCCACAGTCCCTGCAGATTCTGGGTGGAGGGGGCAAGGGAGACCCCTGTACCCAGGGGAACTGCAGGGTAGGACTCCATTCCCAGAGGGCTGTTCCCTGGACCTGCCCCTGCTCTTGGGGTATATGATATGAAGAGACACATTCCCAAGACACTGAGCACCCACCTAACCCCTCAAAATGACAGCAAAGAGAAGAACTGTATTGGGGGAAAAGGGGACAAACACTGAGTTGCTGTTTCAAGCCACTTGCCTCCATCCCTGACACTGTCTTTCTATCTGCTTAGGAGGAACTGATCAGACTGAGCCTAGATGGACACTGGCTCCGACAGATGAAGGGAGCACTGGGACAGGTACAGTGCTGGAGGGGTGGACTCTGTGGCTATGCAGATTACAGGACTCATTCCTAGCAGCCCAGCCAAGTGGGGCCATTCAAACCGCCTCCACTTACAATGCCATACTACAGCCCTGGGATCTAAACTTTCCTCCAGCAGGACAGAAGCCAAGCTCAGAGTAGTAGGGGACTGGAAAGACACTTCACTTCACAGGGAGTAAACCCTACAGCTGCCACTGAGGGAAGCACTGGCACCTTCCTCTGAAGCAGTTGGTGTCCCAGAGTGGGTATGCTGGGGTAGATGGGCCTTGGACTCATCTGGCACAGTTGATCTGTATGGCTGTACTGTGGCTCTGCTGCTCTGATCAGTTACTTAGTGATAATAAGGATGATAGAAGCTTATAGTTGAGGGGCATCAACTTTGCTGCATATGTATAGGAGAGGGGGCCAGGGCTGGACTGGCAGGGGCTGTGGGTCAGAAGAGAGGGGTACCAGCAAAGCTGCGAGAGGCAAGGACAGTGCTCAGTGCAACAGGACCCTGATCCCAGTGACGCCTCGTAAGTGTTACCATTAGAAGCTGGACCAGCCAAGGCTCCAGTCCTTCAGCCCTTAATCCTGCAGCTGGCAGCTGGTGAGGTTAGGGTGAAACAAACTGAGTCTGTCAGGTGCCCCTGGCCTTTCCCCTGCTCTCCACTAGAGGCAGAGAGCTGGTATCTGCAGATCCTAGGGGAGAGGGGTGCCTCATATATGTCTGGGTTTTCACAGAGCAGTGATTCTTAACCTTTTTAGACTCACGGGACATCTGGCTAGACTCAAGACCCCTCTTTGAAAATGCCAGCTCTTAGTTTTTACTTGTTTTTTGACTGCAGAAAAATAATAGAGCAATTCTTCTCTTGCAAAGAGCTCAGAAAAGCCACAGCACGACAAAATGTTTTCTAACACAACAGATTCCTAGTTGTAATCTGAGTTCATCTTGTGAATCATATTGGTGCACCCAATAGCACTAACAAATTTATAGCACCCTGCAGCACCCCTGAAAGGATCTCAAGGCACCCTAGGTTGCTGCAGCCACCTGGCTGAGAATCACTGGCTTAGAACCTGAAATAGCAGCTGGCAGAAGAGTAAACAGCTGTGTTTTTCCTAATAGGCATTAGTACTGAAACCTAATGATGGCCATTTAAATGGCAACACTATTCACTCTCACTGGTAGGCCTATCAGGAGATATAGTATCTCCCACAATCCCAAGCAGCCTTCCCTCCCCACACTCACACATACTTCTCCACTGGCACACACAATGTGCCTGCCGGGTATTAACTTCAAGGGGCCAAGGAGGCTGGCTGGGGTAGTTCAACCCAACTGTGGAGACACCTTTCATGGGCAGTAATCCCTACAGCCATGGCTAAGGGGAGCCCTGACACCTCCCTCTGAAGCAACTGGCCTCCCAGAGAGGGCATACTGGGATAAACTGGCCCTTTGGACTCATCTGGCACAGCTGGTTTCTGTGGCTATTCTGTGGCTCTGCTGCTCTGATCTGTCACCTGGGGAACTCCTCATGACTCCCTGTCATTAGCAGTGACCTCTGCACATTGCTGTTATCCAGAATCCTGTCTGTACTGTTGTCTCTGGCCAGGACCCAGAGGTCTGTAGTGGGAATTGGAAGGGAGGGAAGAGGAGGGGAATGGACCAGATTCCACCAGTTGCTGCCTTTCTTTAATAGACCCACAAAGGAAGAATCCAACAGTATTGATCATCACGGGGGGCTGCACAGCTGCCTTCCTCCTCCTCCTCCTCCTCGTTTCCTTCCTCTTCTACAAAAAAATCCAAGCAAGTAAGTGCTTCTCCCTGGGAGGGAAGGATTAAATCTGCTGCTAAGCAAGGCTGAAACTGGCTTAAGTTTTGATTGGAGACTGGCAAGAAATCTACAGAAGAACTGGATGAGTACTGGGATACCCCAGCTGCCATGTCATGCCCCACCCCAAAGGCAGCTGCATCTCAGTACTGGGTGAGGGGCCCCTGCATGCAGAGGGGTCCAGTTCAGACAGACTCCTGGAAGACTCTGCTCTCTCTCTCTCTCTCTCTCTCTCTCTGCAGGGAAAAGTCAAGTGTCATCAAAGCACACCAGGTACAAATCCACACTCCTAACTGTCCTTCAGCCTGCCTGCACTGAGAGCCAGAAGCGCTGGGTTTCTTCCCAGATGTGGGAGGGGAAATAAGGTCTCATGAGTTAGAGCAGGGGTGACTGGGAGCCACAGGACTCCTGTTCTAACCCAGCTTGGGAGGGTGGCAGCTGGTAAACTACAGCATGGAGTGGCAGGCAGGGGGAGTGTCTGCCTGAGTATGCAAGGAATCTCCTCATGCTTGTGGAGGCTGAGGGAGGTGGGGCTCATGGGAGCTCAGCTGGGAGACCTGGCTGCTCTGTGCATGCACCCAGGTCACTGCTGCTCCTTGCTGAATGAAATCTTCTGTTTCAGGCCTGGCATCTCGGAGGTTGCTCCAGACCCCATCTGTGAGTGACACAGAGAGAAATGGGTGCAGGGTTTCTGGGGCCCAGGGCTGACACCCTCAGTAAGGGGTAGGGCTTGTAGGGGTTTGCCTACATGGGCAGAGCCTGATTAGCAGCTCCTGTGGGCAAGAGTAGGGTGGTTATACCAGGGTCCTGGGTACCTTGTGGCCCTATTAGCTAAGCTCTTTGCACTGTGCCAGGGGCTGCATTCAGCCATCTTACCTCCTACCATCCTCTATGCTAGGAACCCCTGACTCCCTCCCCCCATCACCTGCCAGGGCCTCAGTGTTTTCCTCACTTTATTTTTCTGCCAGAGACACACGAGTCAGGGAAGGAGAAAGAATCAGAATCACATACTCCTAAGTCCCAGCCCCCTTGCTTTATCCCACTCTACTCTGCTCCCCTTCCAGATTTAGGACAGAGCTCTGGAGTTCTGACTTAAGTCTCCTGCTGTCTAACCCATCAGACTCCATTCCTTTCCTACCTCTTCCCTCTTCCCTTGTGCCTCAGTTTACCCATCTGGATCATGGGTCTAATGGCACACCCTAGCTTTAGGGAATGAGAGCAGACTGCAAAGAGCTAGGAACTCTCAGGAAGGGAAGATGTCTGGGTCAGTTGATTCTTGTGTGAGCTGGCATGAGGTTAGGCTGCCTAGACTCACCTGCTCTTCCTGTTCCAGACTCCTCTGTGGATGACAGAGAAGAGCAGCGCACTCTGGTATGTGACCTACCCTGCCCAGCCCCTCACCCTGACACCCCCAGCCCCCCAGCTTCTGCTCTGGTAGTTGGAGTGGGGGTGGGGTGACCGTGAGCAATGCTAGGCTCCAAGGAACTGCAGCTGAGAGCCCAGACTGCTCTGTGTATGTGCATACGTAAGACGGTCACTGCTTCCTCTTCTTGGAAATAACACAACCACATGTGTTTAAGAACAGGATTGCTCTGCTGAGCAGAGTGCATCAGAGCTCCTTTTGTAGATAGGTAATATGCATGGGTCACATGGGCCTCTGAGCACGCACACACACAAACACACACACACACACACACAAACACACACCCCCACACACCCCTCTGGCCCTTTCCAACAGAGGCCCATATTACAGAGTCCAACTATATGTATGTGTGTTTTACCCACAAAATGCACTGAATCTGAGTGTGTGCACAGTATTTCAGTGTGACTAGGGGGGTTTGTGACTTTGCATCAATGGGTATTGCAGTCTATGTGTAAAGTGTGACACTGCATGTGTGTGTGTGCACCCACACTGGCAGTGTGTGTTTGATATGTGGGTGTTATATGCACACATACCATGCTTCAGTGACACTCTCTCCACCTGTCTCTCCCCTCCCAGCCCCAGATGGACCCCGATCCCAATGCTGATGGCATCACCTACGCTGAGCTGAACCATGAGGCACTGAACAAGCAGTGGTACCCCACCCTTGCCATTGTTGAGCCCAGCCTCTATGCTGCAGTCAATGTGAGACCAGGGATCCATCAGTGACAGACCTCAACTCACCAAGTGTGAGCCCAGGGAGAGACATCTCTGGAATAGAGGCATGAAGGTGTATGCCCACCAAGGTCATTCACCTATAGAGGATGCGCTGTAGCATGGACTCTGCTTACATGGAACATTTTCTGGGACCCCTCCACCCTTCCCAGACCTGCACAAGGGAGCGGGTGGGGTAGAGGGAAGGGGAGGTGGGAAGGGGATCTTCCTAAGCCTCTCTGTATATAACTTGGTAGCCTGCTTAACCTCTAGTTTTATAATAAACACAGGATCACCCAAACCCAGCTTCCCTGGGGGCCTGATACAGCCATGCCCCTATGCTGGGTTGGGGATTACCCCAGCAAAGTGTACTGCGATGGGGTTTCCCTACTACATCTTTAGTACTCCACTGACGGGCATTCTCCCTGCAGTCACCTCTTATGTACCATGGCCTGGGCTCGTTTCCATGCTTCTTTCCCCACCTTGTACCCAGACTTCCTGGCTAATTTTTGCTTCATCTTGGGGCCATACAGCTTCACAACCTGGTTATGGGCTGATCTACCCCTTCGGGGGCCCCAGGCACCTGGTAAGAATTTGCAGTGGCAAGCATCAGCTTCTACCTTTGCCCATTAATCCAGCACCGGTCAGATAAGCCCCCACCCTGCTCACACGGGATCCTGAGTCACCTTTCCCCATTAGCTCCCACATCTCTGCCCTCCTGAGCCCCAGGCAGCTCTGCCCCTGGATCCCAGTCAGTTCTCCTCCCCCTTGATCACAGAAGATGCCACACTGCTGAACTCATCAGGGCTGGTAGCTGTCCATTGTGAATGTGCAGTGCCCATTCTTTTACAACAGCATAAAAAAGACATCACAGCCAGGACCAGATCCAGGGGACCTGCACTGGTGCACTTGCACCCCACTTTAATTCCTGCTCCACCCAAAGTTTAAAACCAATACTTGGCAGTTGCAGCAGCATTTCTAGTCAAGCAGCAGTGATGGAGTCAATTAACGTCATGGCTCACTATATTCCATCTAATTCCTTCTAAACTCTTCACCCCACAGGTGTTAACAACCCTCTCTCTGTTTTTAATGGTCTGAATGTTCCACTAATCAACCTATTCCTTCTTCAGCAATTCTGCTGTCTGCTAGGAGCTACATTATCAGGAGCAGATACTTCACAGCCCTGCAGCCTGTTTTTAACTCTAACTTAAAACATTAACTTTAGACCAGGCTTTAAACTGAGCCCCCCGGGGGATGGGGAGAGTACCACCACTGCAAGCCCACTGGGCAGTTTTTGTAAACCCAGCAGGCTAAGGCACTCAAGGGAACCCACCCCTACCCTAGCCCCAGAGCGATCTGTAGGAAAGGCAAGGGCCCCCAGTGGGTCACTTATGTGCCTGTACACCAATGCCAGGATCCTGGGGAACAAACAGGAGGAGCTGGTCCTTCTGCTAAACCAGAAGAATTACAAGTCATAGGGATAACATAAACCTGGTGGGACTCTACCTATGACTGGGCCACAGGTATAGATGGCTATACCTTGTATAGGAGAGATTGTGTGGGCAAAAGGGGCAGGAGAGGGGGTAGCTCTCTATGTCAAGGAAAGTTACACATCCCTGCAAGCTGACATTGGCTTGCACAATTGGCTCGTGACCCAGGGGGGACGATTGGAGACTCTCTGGGTCAAAATCCATGGTGAACGAGGCATAGGGGACACAATGGTGGGGGTCTACTACAGACCTCTCCTAGCCAGGATCAAGAGCTTGACCAGGAATTCGCCACGGAACTTGCTGAGGCTGCACACTCCCCCATGGTTGTCAGGGGAGATTTCAACTCCCCTGACATCTTGTGGGAAGAGCGCTCAGCCACATCCGAATGGTTGCAAAGCTTCCTCGTGTGTGGATAAGCTCTATCTGACTCAAGAAGTCTACGGACTGACGAGAGGCAAATTGCTGCTCAACCTGGTACTGGCAATGGGTGATGACTTAATCAGCGACCTTAGGATCGAAGGGAAGCTGGGAGACAGCAACCATGAGCTGATCACCTTCACCATCTGCCATAAAGCAGGCAAGTCAGTCAGCAAAGCAAAAGTCCTCTACTTCGGGAAAGCTGACTTTGACAAGCTCAGGAGGCTTGTTGGCAAGGCCCTAAGGGACCGTGACCCAAAGGGGAGGGGTGTTCAGGAAGAGTGGTTGCTCCTCAAGGGAGCGATCCTGAAAGCACAAGCAATGTCTATCCTGTCTTGGACGAAAGGTAGCAAAAGAGCACAGCAGTCCCCTTGGCTCTGCAAGGAACTAGTGGACCTCCTGCATCTAAATGGAAAGGCCTAGAATGGATGGAAGGCTGGATCCAACCCAAAGGAGGAGTACTCTGTGTGGCGGGCCAGTAGGGGGCGCTCCTGTGTTGAGCCGCCCACCTCCCTGCGCCCGGCCACCTTCCAGGCTCCTAGTGCCTCCCTGGGGTGCCTCCCGTCCGGCCGACCCCTTCCCTGGAGCACACCCGCTAGCCTGGGGTTCCCGCTGCCACCATCCAAGGCTCTGGACTCACTTCTGGCTCTGTGCACCTTGGAGAACACAGGCCTGATTGTCCAATGGGTGCTAGACCCAATACAAGCACTTGGGGCACTTCCCCAAGTCAGGGGCTTATTAGGAAGCCTCCCTTAGTCCACCGACCTAAGGGGCCTCCTCGGCATAATTTAGACCCACCCCTCAATAAGTCTCCACACCGGTCACAAAGGAGAACTTTATTGATTACAGGGGT